GGTGAACGGGGAGAAGAGCAAGCTGCAGCCAGCCCAAAGCATGATTTATCTCGGTCTGCAGTTAGACTCGGTGACATTCCGTGCTGCATTGTCCGTGGACAGACGGATCAACATTACCCGTCTGGCCCGGGAGGTTCTGGCGGGCCCCAGAGTCCCCGCCCGGCGCCTCAGGTCCCTGCTGGGAATGATGGCGGCGGCTCATGCTGTGGTGCGGCTAGGCCTTCTCCACATGAGGAATTTTCAGAGGTGGTTCTCGCGCCTCAGGCTTCACCCCTCCTGGGACGGGGGGAGGCTGATCTGGGTTCCCCAAGTGGCAGCATCGGACATCAGGTTCTGGCTCACTCCGGGTCTATTGCGGGACGGAGTGACTCTGGCCTGCGCCGTGTCTCACGTGGAGGTGTTCACGGACGCGTCGCTCGAAGGATGCGGCGGGGTCCTCGGCCAGAGCTCTGTAGGAGGCTGCTGGTCGGACTCAGCCCGTCACATCAACCTGCTGGAGATGGAGGCAGTGCACAGAGTACTGCTGCACTTTGCCCCTCAGCTGCAGGGGAGACACGTGATGGTGCGCTCAGACTACACCACAGTGGTCTCCTATCTGAACAGGCAGGGAGGCACCAGGTCCCCCGCTCTCCATCGCATGGCGACGGTGACGCTGCTGTGGGCGGCGCTTCACCTCCTGTCTCTCAGGGCGCGCCACGTCCCGGGGGTCCGGAACGTGGGGGCCGACAGGATGTCCAGGGGGGCCCACTCCAGGACGAGTGGGGCCTGGCCCCACGGGTAGCTGCGGAGATCTGGCGGAGGTTCGGCCGTCCAGTGGTCGACCTTTTCGCCAGTGCAGAAAACGCACAGTGCCCGTCCTGGTTCGCCTTAAGGGCCGCGGACGAGCCGCCCTTAGGCGTGGACGCTCTGGCTCATTACCCCTGGCCAGGGGGCCTGCTGTACGCTTTCCCACCAGTGCGTCTCCTGCCGGTCCTGCTGCGGAGGATCGAACAGGAGAGGAGGTCGGTGATCCTGGTGGCTCCGGACAGTCCGCATGCCCGGTGGTTCCCCTTCCTGAGGGGCATGGCGGTGATGGAGCCCTGGGCCCTCCCGGACGAGCCGGGGGCTCTAGTCCAGGGGGGAGGAGCCCGGTTTTCACGCCCGATAATCGGCCGCAGGCTCTGGGTTTGGAGGCTGAGAGGCGGAACCTCGTAGACCTGGGTCTTCCCCCTGCGGTGGTGGAGACCATTCAGGGGGCGAGGGCGCCGTCCACTGTGAGGGCCTACGCCACGAGGTGGAGGCTCTTCAGCGTCTGGTGCGGTTCCCGTTCCTGGGATCCCAGGCGTTGCCCGCTGGAGGGGGTCCTGGGATTCCTACAGGAGCTCTTTGACAAGGGGAGGGCTGTCGCCACCTTGGCGGTGTTCGCGGCAGCCATTACTTCGGGTCACGACGGATTCGGGGGGTTCACAGCCTGCTCTCTATCCGTTGGTTAAACGTTTTCGGCGGGGGGCGCGCAGGAGGAGGCCCCCGCTCCAGAGAACGCCCCCGGTTTGGGACCTCGGGGTGGTCCTTAGGGGGCTGTCGGGTCCGCCTTTTGAACCGGCGGCGGAGGCGAGTCCCGAGTGTGTCGCTTTTAAGACGGCCCTCTTGTTGGCGTTGGCGTCTGCTAAGAGGGCGGGCGACTTGTGTGCGCTCTCTGTCCATGCGTCTTGCCTGTCCTTTGGAGAGGGCGACGGCATGGTGGAATTGTGGCCCAATCCGGCCTTTCTCCCCAAGGTCATCACGTCGGCCTTTCGGTCGAGAGTCATCAGGATTAGGGCTTTCTATCCGCCACCGCATGCCTCCCCCGAGGAGGAGCGGCGGCACCTTCTGTGTCCTGTCAGAATGCTAAGGCATTACCTGGCCATGACGTCGTCATTCAGGTTGGGTGGTCAGCTGTTTGTGTGTCTGGGCCCCAAGAACAGGGGCGCCCCGCTGTCGGCTCAGCGGCTGGCGCACTGGGTCGCCACGGCTGTGCGGCGGGCGTATCAGACGCAGGGTCAGGCCCCCCCGGTGGGCTTCAGGTCGCATTCCACGCGTGGGATGGTGGCCTCTACGGCCCTTCTCAGGGGGGCGTCGGTCGAGGACGTCTGCCGTGCGGCTTCTTGGGCGTCGTCCTCCTCTTTCGTCCGGTCTTATCTTTTGGATGTGTCGGACCGGTCGGTGGCCCATTCCGTGCTGAGTGCAGCGGACTGAGTTAGACCGTTAGGTCCCTCCTCTGAGGGGGCCTTCGGTTTACTTTCCGCCCTGGTTCAGGAGCTCTTGGGAGAGGGATCCTACAGGTGCGGTACATATATGTGTGTTTGGTCGGTCAGGTAGTCCACGTCAGGAGCTCTTGGGAGAGGCGTCCTGTGGCTACGGATGACCTACGGTCTGTGTTACGTGGGGGTATCCTTGGTAGGAGTGGCCCTGTAACACGCATTGTTTCTTCTGCCCTGAGTCCTCTCACTGTGTGAGGGTCTTGCTCGGGCGGAGCTCCAATCACCCTTCGCTGGCCTGCTGGGAGTACATGTTCCTACGGCCTCCGCGTTGTGTCCCACTAGCGAAGTCCTAAGGGACGTAGCACCATGACGTAGAATTAATAGTTACCTAATGTAACTTAAGTTCCACGAATAGGTGCGTAGTCCCTTAGCTACGAGCCCATCAGGCCAGCCCGGCTTGGCAGAGTTCAAGAGGGGGTGCGGCCTTGTGCAGGGGCATTTATAGAGGACGGTGGCTGGTGATTGGAGCAAATTATTTTGATCTCTCTGGCGTGTGACCTGGAGGTCACGAGTGATATCCCACTAGCGAAGTCCTAAGGGACTACGCACCTATTCGTAGAACTTAAGTTACATTAGGTAACTATTAATTACATGTTCTCCCCTCTGCATAGGTTTCCTCCGGGTACTCCGGTTTCCCCTACCACTAGAAAAATGTAGCGTGACTGCATTGGTGGAGCTGAAGTTGGCTGGATGACAATGTCAAAGTGCCTCGATGGCAACTTTGTGTTAACAGCAGATGGGCAACATAACATGGCACAGAGGGCCGCAATTGGCCCGTGGGCCTGAGTTTGGACATGCCTGGCCTAAGTCCTGCGTCTAAAGCCTCAGTCCTAGATCTACATCCTCAGTCCTGCTTCCTTCTTAAGCCTAGTGGTTGCGGTGGACCTACGTAAGCACAATTGATGTTATAATGCCGCGTTCCCCTTATGGAGTTAGGAGGAGAATGTTGTAATCCCACAACAAACCACATGAGGGCGATCACACAGGAGCGGTCCCATTTACGCTGCTACTTTGTCCTCTTCAGAACAACAATAGCAAACAAAGCTGTTTGAGCTCATTACACGTGTTTCTACTGTAGGTTTATGTGATAGTTTTATGGATTCATTATTTTATAAGTCATTTAACTGTGATGCTGTGAATAAAGACACAGTTCTTGTTGAAAACATAGTTATTATTAAATAGTTTTCAGCACAAACAGCAAAACAATAATAGTGGTAAATATCTGAGACAAACATGAACGATTCACGAGTGCAGGAGGAAAGCAACAAACGCAGCTACGGTTCAAACAAGACAGGAACAGTGCAAAACAAACGACTGCACAGTTTATAAGTTATATATATATGTTAGATATAAGTTATATATATGTTAGATAGTCCACAGTCCCCTGTATATCAGGCTCTGAGCCCAAACTGTAGTGATGTGCTGAGCGTGCCGGGTCTTCGAAGCGTGTACCGAGTAAAAAAGGGCCGTATTTTTTGAAGCGTGGGTCGAGGCGTGTGTTGGTGACGTATGTGGTGACGTTCGAAGCCTCGCGTAGCGCCCACACCACGTGACGGTTCATATAGTGCTTCATATAGTTCGGAGAGTGCATTGCTTTGACAGGTGCTTTGTGATCCGCGGCTGTACCATAGACTGTATTGGCTGTCCCCGTCTGCCTCTGTGTGCGTACGTGTGTGTGCGTGATGTGGAGCAGTCCTGTACTAAGTATAGAGAAACTACTTCATATGAAATACAATTAAAAACGTTTCACTTTAGTAAAACCTCATATATCAAGGCTTCAAGTTATTAGTAATAATACGCTGGATAATACATTTCACAACAGCTGTGTGGCGCAGTCGGTCTATGACGGACTCCGAAGCAGAAGATATAGCGTTCGAATCCTGGTCTACCCATAATAAATTTTGTGTTGCAAAGTAAATGTATTTATTTATTGGGAATAAATGGTTTGTTGTGTTTAATTAATCCACCTCTTGGTAGTTTTTCCTCCATTAATCACTTTCTGTAGAACTGTATTACTTTGGATGTGTTTGTTGTATCAACACAATTGACTGAAAGACTCAAATAGTTCATAGTTCATGAAGCATCATTTCAAACACAACACGTTAGACCATAGATTGTAAATATACATTTTAACATTAGATCTCACCATTCATTGTAAGCACTTAAGAGTGTTATGTATTTTTTTGTCCACATGATGGCGTAGTGGAGCATGATTCACCTCGAGCCTTCGACTCATGGGCCGAGTAATAGGCTGCGATCCCTCAAGGCTTCATGGGGCTTCATATTGCCATCACTACCAAACTGCTTTTCCTTCGAAGCACAAAGCTCTGCTCCATAGTGTCTCGTCCATTGTCCCTGCTGCAGCCGCTCCGTGCTTCCTTCCAATACACACACACGGACCAATCACAGCGGAGATTCCTTGCGGCGACCCTTACGTAGTTAGAAAATTTCGATGCTGCGCGGCAGGCGACGTAAGGGCCTTGCGGTGACCAACGCGCTGCGCAAGTGACGTCACGTCACCTCCGTAAGCTCCGCGCCGCGCGAGTATAAACTAGGCTTTAGAGTCTGCTGTCCCAAGCTCTGTGCTCACACCTGTCAGAGGACTGTGTGGTCAACTCCTCACACATCTACAGCTCTTAAGATGAGTAGAGCTGCTCTTGTTTGTTCTTCTTGCTGACAGTTGGTTTTGCAGCCTCTAATTCTCACAGAGAGTGTCGCCCTCTAGTGGAGACACTGCACTATTGTATTGTCTTTGCTGCAGAGGTTTTTGTTCAGAGTGTTGGTGTTTCCTGTCAGTGTGGGCCGCAGAGCACAGTAGTACACAGCAGAGTCAGTCACATCCACAGCCTCCATCTTCAGAGACAAAGAGTTCCCCACGAGCTCAGCACCAAACTTGGATTCATCAAACTTTGTGGAGTGGAAACTGCCAACTCCTCTTATTAACACCATCATGTACTTTGGAGAATCACCATCTTTCTGTCTGTACCAGAAAAAGTAGTTTGAGGAGATGCTTGTTCTTGTTCTCATCTGCTTGTAAAGTTGCAGATGAGTGTGTGAGTGTGTCCCTCTCTCACTCGGTCCTCTCCTGCTGCCTGCTTCACTGTGTCTTGTCCGTTACACTCTGGAGAAGAACTCAGCAGCACAAGCAGAGCTGAGAGTAGTGGACACAGGACACACTCCATCTTAAAGCTCAGATCTTCTCAGTGTGTGCTGCTCTCTTACAGTCTGCTGTCCTCAGCTCTGTGCTCACACCTGTCATTTCCTGTGCCAGGCTGAGAAGTGTGTTTACCCTAGTGGTCAAGTGCTGCTACTGCAAACTCCACATAAGGATCAGGTCCCCACAACGATAGTACTGTAAATAAAAACACCACTGTGATCATTGTTAACACTAATATTCACTGATTCTAGTTCACCGTGCTTTTGTGTACATCCACAGCTGTTTTTTTTAACTTGTCACACTTTAAGCCACATAATCAATAGAGCTGCTCTTGTCTTTCCTACTTTGTCTGACATCTGTACCAGTTTTAATTTTAGCGGTTGTCTGCACATTGGGGGGCAAGGAGTGACAAGCAGTCTGTTATAGCTGTTGTGATAAAAGAGTTTACAAAAATAAAGTGAACTGCCCCTCAGTCTGATTCATGTACACAATCATGAGACTGTTTAAGTCTTTGATCTTGTGTCGAGGAATTGACAACTTTGTAAAGTCCGCTGAGATGAATGCAGTTGAGACTTGAGGCTATACAGAAATAAATTGAACTGAATTGAGACCCAAAAAAAGAGTCCAAGTCTGCACCCTGGACTTCTCTAGAGCTGTGGAAGAGTCCCAGTCTGTACTTTATATGAATGGTACATCACATGGGGCTGATACTGAACCCTCTCTACCTTGTCCTCGTTATGAGTGGTTATGCTCTTATGGTTTCTCTGCTTTTGGTCACTTTAAGTGTCTGATCCGTCTTCAAGCAAGGAATAATCTACCAGACTTTTCATGAAGTGTTTTTATAAGTTAGAACAGTCTCAAAATGATGTGAAAGAGCACAGCTGAGTGTTCCTCATGTGAACTCTGTGGATCTGCTGAGTTTCTCACACTGACAGTTGGTTTTGCAGGTTCTGTGAGTCTCACAGAGAGTGTCGCCCTCTAGTGGAGACACTGCACTATTGTGTTGTCTTTGCTGCAGAGGTTTTTGTTCAGAGTGTTGGTGTTTCCTGTCAGTGTGGGCCGCAGAGCACAGTAGTACACAGCAGAGTCAGTCACATCCACAGCCTCCATCTTCAGAGACAAAGAGTTCCCCACGAGCTCAGCACCGAACTTGGATTCATCAAACTCTGGAGAATTTTGCCCTGATCCACCTTTGTATCGCCACATCATGTACTTTGGAGCTCCTTGTCCTTCCTGCTTGTACCAGTACAGATCTGGGAAGCGACCAGTGGTTGTAAAGTTGCAGATGAGTGTGTGAGTGTGTCCCTCTCTCACTCGGTCCTCTCCTGCTGCCTGCTTCACTGTGTCTTGTCCGTTACACTCTGGAGAAGAACTCAGCAGCACAAGCAGAGCTGAGAGCAGTGGACACAGGACACACTCCATCTTAAACAGCCCTCTCATGTTTCCTTTGCTTCTTCTAAAGTCTGAGTCTTTGTGTCGACTCTTCTGGCTCCACAGCTTTTAGGAGGAAGTGCTTCTCCCACAGCTCTCTGTTCAAATGAACACACACACACACACACACACACACACACACAAACATGCTATTAACAGTGCTAGATTTGCACCATGAGGTTTGATTTTTGTCTAGTCTGACCAAAGCCCCTTCTCTCTCATGGTAGCTGTGTCCACCATATAACTTCTGGCAAACTTAATAATGGATTTCTTCTTTGCCACTCGTCCATAAAGGCCAGATTTGTGTAGAGACTGATAGTTCTCCCTTATACAGATTCCCCCAGCTCAGCATCAGTACTTCACAGCTCCTCCAGAGTCATCTTGGGACACTTGGTTGTCTTTCTGACCAGTACTGTCTGTGTTCCATCTGTTAGTTTAGGTGGACAGCCGTGTCTTGGTAAGTTTGCAGTGGTGTCATACTCTTTACATTTCTGAATGATGGATTGAACAGTGCTCCGTAAGATGTTCCAATCTTGGGAATCTTGATATAACTTAAAGCTACTTTAAACTTCTCCACAACTGTATCCCTGACCTCTCTGTTGTGCTCCTGGACCTCATGATGTTTAGTGACCAATACACTCTGACCACAGCTTTGAGGCCCTCACAGAACAAATGTTTTTATACTGAGAGTAGATTACACACTATTTAATCATTAGGATAAAGTGTAAACATTCAGCAGTCATAAGAATTTACTTTCACTTCACACTTCTGTCTGTTACTTGTGTGTGAACTCTCAATGAAAAAAGAAAATCTTTCTTTATGGTTGTAATCATGACTTTTTCAAAAATTCAAGCTGTATTAATACTTTTGAGATGCACTGTTGTCTGTTCATTGGTTTTCACCGTTGTCCCTCAGTTTGTTTCATGTTTGTAGTGATGAGACAGAAAGTAAAATAACAATCAAGGACATTTATCACACTATACAGGGACATTGGGTCAACCTCCCTATGGAGCCAATACCCTATTTTGTTCTATCATTAATGTGTTTGAACTGTATAGATTCTCTGAATGTGTGTTGGCGATGTTTCAACAAGTTTTAATATAAGTCCCTCTGACATAACTAACAGTATTGATTTAGGGCCTTAAAATTAAAAAAAACATGAATACAATGGAATTTAAATGAAATTGCAAACTTTAGATATCACTCAATCTTCTGTTGAGCAAACACGACTTCTTTGTAAAGTCACCCCGAGACAGCTGCTATTGTGATTTAGAGATATACAAAATTGATTTGAGACTCGTAAACCAGTCCCTCATTTGTTTCTTAAAATAAATGTAATTGATTTGAATGATACAGTTATCACATGGGGCTGATACTAGACACTCTCTGCTTGTCCTTGTTATGACTCATTATGGTCCTGTTGTTTCTCTGCTTTCTGTCCATTTGAAGTGATTATTCCATCTCTTTGACCAATGTGTGAGGATATTATCGTTTTTCAGCTGTAAGTTCAAACAAAGACCAATCCATCACACTTTAGTAATTTGTTTTTGAGAGTTCGAAAAGTCTCAAAATTATGTGAAAGAGCACAGCTGAGGGTCCCTCATGTGAACTCTGTGGATCTCCTGAGTTTCTCACACAGTTGGTTTTTCAGCGTCTGACTCTCACAGAGAGTGTTGCCCTCTAGTGGAGACACTGCACTATTGTGTTGTCTTTGCTGCAGAGGTTTTTGTTCAGAGTGTTGGTGTTTCCTGTCAGTGTGGGCTGCAGAGCACAGTAGTACACAGCAGAGTCAGTCACATCCACAGCCTCCATCTTCAGAGACAAAGACTTCCCCACGAGCTCAGCACTAAACTTGGATCCATCGAACTCTGGAGAATTACGCCCTATTCCATTTGTACGCGCGAGTACACGCAACAGCATGTACTTTGGAGAATCACCATCTTTCTGTCTGTACCAGAACAAGTAGCTGTAGCCTGTGGTTGTAAAGTTGCAGATGAGTGTGTGAGTGTGTCCCTCTCTCACTCGGTCCTCTCCTGCTGCCTGCTTCACTGTGTCTTGTCCGTTACACTCTGGAGAAGAACTCAGCAGCACAAGCAGAGCTGAGAGCAGTGGACACAGGACACACTCCATCTTAAACAGCCCTCTCATGTTTCCTTTGCTTCTTCTAAAGTCTGAGTCTCTGTGTCGTCTCTTCTGGCTCCACAGCTTTTAGGAGGATGTGCTCCTCCCACAGATCTCTGTTCAAATGAAAACACACACACACACACACACACACACACACACACACACACACACACACACACACACACACACACACACGCACGCACGCACGCACACACACACACACGCATCTCAGCAAGAAGGTTCTGATGTGAATCCCTGTCAGAACAGGGCCTTTCTGAGTGGAGCTTACATGTTCTCCCCTCTGCATAGGTTTCCTCCGGGTACTCCGGTTTCCCCTACCACTAGAAAAATGTAGCGTGACTGCATTGGTGGAGCTGAAGTTGGCTGGATGACAATGTTAAAGTACCTCGATGGCAACTTTGCTAAACAGTGCTAGATTTGCACCATAAGGTTTGATTTTAGTCTAGTCTGACCAATTACCTTCTCCCACATGGTAGCTGTGTCCACCATATAACTTCTGGCAAACTTAATAATGGCTTTCTTCTTTGCCACTCGTCCATAAAGGCCAGATTTGTGTAGAGACTGATAGTTCTCTCTTATACAGATTCCCCCAGCTCAGCATCAGTACTTCACAGCTCCTCCAGAGTCATCTTGGGACACTTGGTTGTCTTTCTGACCAGTGCAGTGCTGTCTATGTTCCATCTGTTAGTTTAGGTGGACAGCCGTGTCTTGGTAAGTTTGCAGTGGTGTCATACTCTTTACGTTTACGAATGATGGATTGAACAGTGTTCCGTAAGAAGTTCAAATCTTGGGAATCCTGATATAACTTAAAGCTACTTTAAATTTCTCCACAACTGTATCCCTGACCTTTCTGTTGTGCTCCTGGACCTCATGATGTTTAGTGACCAATACACTCTGACCACAGCTTTGAGGCCCTCACAGAACAAATGTTTTTATACTGAGAGTAGATTACACACTATTTAATCATTAGGATAAGGTGTGAACATTCAGCAGTCATTAGAAAAACTTTTCACTTTTCTGTTTTTTAAAATAATAACAGAAACAGGAGAATTTACTTTCACTTCACAGTTTTCTGATACTTGTGTGTGAACTCTCAATGAAAAAAATAAGAATAAAATGTAGTAAACATGACATTTCCAACAATTGAAGCTGTATGAATACTTTTTAGAGATACTGTATTCTGTTCATTTGTTATTCATCCGCTATCCCATTGTCTGTTTCAAGCCATGATGATAGGACTCCTCGATCCTGTCTCTTTAACCTGCTCCTGTCCTCGGATGGAGCCTCTTCAGTCCTGGTTCTACAGCCTCCGTCCTGAATCTACAGTCTTAATCGTCTTCAGCAGGTGAAATGGTGAAACTCATCCCACTTCCACAGGCCACAGGATGAGTAGAGCTGCTCTTGTCTTTCATGCTTTACCTTCCATCTGTGTCCAGTTTGACTTTTACTGGTTGTCTGTTCATTGGTATTCACCGTTGTCCCTGTTTCATGTTTGTAGTGATGAGACGGAAAGTATTATAACATTTAAGGACATTTATCAACTTTCATGGACATTGGTCAACTCCCTATGGACCAATACCTATTGTGTGTTCTATAATTTTTGTGTTTGAACTGTTTGATTCCCTGATCTGTGTTGACGATTTCAACAGTTTTATTAAGTCCTCTGAGATAACTACTGATGTGATTTAGGGCTATACATGAATTTAATTGTATTGAATTGAAAGTTTGATTCTCTAATCTGCTGTCGACAAAACAACAACTTTGTAAAGTCTCCAGAGACAGCTGCTGTTGTGATTTAGGGATATGGGCCTAATGGTGGCTGAGTGGATAGCACTCTCACATCTCAGCAAGAAGGTTCTGAGTTCGAATCCCTGTCAGAACAGGGCCTTTCTAAGTGGAGCTTACATGTTCTCCCCTCTGCATAGGTTTCCTCCGGGTACTCCGGTTTCCCCTACCACTAGAAAAATGTAGCGTGACTGCATTGGTGGAGCTGAAGTTGGCTGGATGACAATGTCAAAGTGCCTCGATGGCAACTTTGTGTTAACAGCAGATGGGCAACATAACATGGCACAGAGGGCCGCAATTGGCCCGTGGGCCTGAGTTTGGACATGCCTGGTCTAAGTCCTGCGTCTAAAGCCTCAGTCCTAGATCTACATCCTCAGTCCTGCTTCCTTCTTACAGTCTCCTGTCCCTAGCTCTGTGCTCACACCTGTCAGAGGACTGTGTGGTCAACTCCTCACACATCTACAGCTCTTAAGATGAGTAGAGCTGCTCTTGTTTGTTCTTCTTGCTGACAGTTGGCTTTGCAGCCTCTAATTCTCACAGAGAGTGTCGCCCTCTAGTGGAGACACTGCACTATTGTATTGTCTTTGCTGCAGGTTTTTGTTCAGAGTGTTGGTGTTTCCTGTCAGTGTGGGCTGCAGAGCACAGTAGTACACAGCAGAGTCAGTCACATCCACAGCCTCCATCTTCAGAGACACAGAGTTCCCCACGAGCTCAGCACCAAACTTGGATTCATCAAACTCTGGAGAATTTTGACCTTTGTCATATGTGGATCGCCGCATCATGTACTTTGGAGAATCACCATCTTTCTGTCTGTACCAGAACAGGTCGTTGCTTGTGAAGCCGCTTGTTGTAAAGTTGCAGATGAGTGTGTGAGTGTGTCCCTCTTTCACTCGGTCCTCTCCTGCTGCCTGCTTCACTGTGTCTTGTCCGTTACACTCTGGAGAAGAACTCAGCAGCACAAGCAGAGCTGAGAGCAGTGGACACAGGACACACTCCATCTTAAAGCTCAGATCCTCTCAGTGTGTGCTGCTCTCTTACAGTCTGCTGTCCTCAGCTCTGTGCTCACACCTGTCATTTCCTGTATCAGGCTGAGAAGTGTGTTTACCCTAGTGGTCAAGTGCTGCTACTGCAAGCTCTACATAAGGATCAGGTCCCCACAAGGATAGTACTGTAAATATAAAGACAACTGTGATCTTTGGCAACACTAATATTCACTGATTCTAGTTCACCGTGCTTTTGTGTACATTCCCAACTGTTTTTTTTTTAACTTGTCACACTTTAAGCCACATAATCATTAGAGCTGTCTTTCCTACTTTGTCTTGTGCCTGTTTTAATTTTAGCGGTTGCCTGAACTTTGCATTTCACTCCTTGCCCCCCACTGTTATAGCTGTTTTAAAAGCAAAAATAAAGTGAACTGTTGATTACAATTTTTTGATCGTGTTGAGGAATTGACAACTTTCTAAAGTCCGCCGAGACTTTGGCATTTCATTGAACTGAATTGAGACCTTCTGAGTCCCCCCTGGACTTCTCTAGAGCTCCAGCCAGAATCAGTCCCAGTACTGTACTTTATTTTAATGGTACTGATGGTTAAAATTGAAGCCAGAATGATGGTTAAAATTAAGTTTATTTTGTCCTTCCATATATTCATATAACCAACGTAAGAGCTAGAACAGAACTGAAAATCAACTTACAATCATGTCCAAATACTATCTAGCATCAATTACATTGTAAACCGTTATATCACAATTACTATTATTTTACACAAAGAAACAATTGTTACACAAATAAAATCAATCCATACCTTGTTCCCTCTATCTCAACTGTTGCTAAACTTTGTTGTTGTTTCTTTTATACCATATTGGCTCTGTTTCCTCTTTAGACCATTGACTACTAGACCGTCTGTTTGTTTGTAACGTCCATACACTGTAACGTTTCTCCGTCTGATGTTGCGCGAGCCACTTGACTTCCGGTTGAGACAGGAAGCGTCAAAATAAAACATTTTCTATCAATAATAAAACATCAACCTTTACACTCCCACCAATTATTTATAAAACAAAATATAACACAAATAATTTTAACATTCCTTAAGCATAGCAATCACTTAAAAATACATAACATAACAAAAAACAATGCTTTTAACAATCTTCTAAAAGCAGAACTAGTTTCTGGATTGGGCGCTCCACTATTGAAACTTTATTCAATCTTTCACCCTTTTTGTTGAGATTTCTGTCTGCATATGCTATTTTAACTTTTCTCACAAGTCCATCTTTATCTGTGACAGTGTCCAAGACTCTACCAAGTCTCCATGTGTGATCGCGGCTGGGTTTCATCTTTGTCCATCACTATGTCGCCTGATTGCATGTTTCTTTTGGGTGTGTGCCATCGTTGTCGAAGATACTCCTTCTTCCATCGACTCCAGAATTGTTCCGCTAGATATTGTACTTGTTGCCATTGATTTTGTGCATAGATATCATCTTTAACGAACTGTCCTGGAGGAGGCAATACTCCATTGGTTTTCATTGTGACAAGATGGTCTGGAGTAAGTGGTTCCAAACTGTTCGGATCGTTGAGATTGTCTGTTGTTAGGGGGCGGCTGTTCACTATTGCAGCTGCTTCGTACAGAAATGTTCTGAGTGACGCATCTGTGAGTCTTCCTTTTGCGAGAGTGAGCGTGGCATCGAGAACATTTCTCACAGTCCTTATTTGGCGTTCCCATACTCCACCTGCGTGACTTGCATGAGGGGTATTAAGAACGAAATCACATTGTTTTTTGGAAAGAAACATTGTCAGTTTGTTAGTGTCCATCTCGCTTAAAGCTGCATTCAGTTCATTTTTGGCACCTACAAAGTTAGTACCCTGATCACATTTTATTAGTCTGACAGAGCCTCTCAAAGCAATGAAGCGTCTCATTCCATTAATAAAAGTGTCTGTAGACAGGTCTTCAAGCATTTCCACATGTACTGCCCGTGAATAAAGACATGTGAAAAGAAGACCGTACCTTTTGTTCTTTTCTTGCTTGTTTTGTTATGAATGGGCCGAAAACATCCATACCACAGTATGTGAAGGGTGGAGAATGTTCGACTCTTTCTGTGGGGAGATCACTCATTTTTTGTTCTTCCCACCGGCCTCCGTAGTCTCCTACAAAACACACACTGACGAATGTATGATGTTACTGCTTGATTTAGTTTGGGGATCCAATAGCCACTGGACCGTATCTCATTCATTGTGAAGCCTTTTCCTTGATGAAGGACCTTCTCATGACAGTGAGCAATTATCAATTTTGTGATGTGATGCTCTCTCGGAATGACAGTTGGATGTTTTATCGAGTTTGGCAGCGATGAGTGTTGCAGCCTTCCTCCCACCTTGAGCACTTTGTCTTTATCCAAGAAGAGATCCAAATTGTACATTTTGTTGTGTTTTGATAATGCTTTACCTTTGCTCACCAGTGTTATCTCATTTGCATATACTTGTCTTTGTAGATCTTTGATTATCAAAATTTCTGCGTTTTGTCTTTCACTTGCAGTTGTGAGTGACTTTGATTTGTCTTTGAGTACGTAACGTTTGAGTCGTGCTACTGCGCTGACTGCACGGGACCAGGAGGAGAACTTGTTGAGACGGTCACTGAGACTTTTGCAGTCTGTTGTTTGCGTGTTCAACGTCTGCACTTTTCTCACCTCTGGGTCTCCTATTGGAAGTTCAATTGTAGCAGTAGCAGTACTAGCATTAGCAGTAGCTAGCTAGCTAGCAGTAGCAGTAGCATTAGCAGTAGCAGTAGCAGCCCTCACCTGTGGTCCGGCAGCCGTACAGCTCCAGTCGGAGGCAGATGCCCTGGGTCTGATCTCAGAGTCGGTTTGGGAAGAAGAGAACGGACCTCATCAGTGGGATTAGAGTTCCCCTCGAACACCTGCGACAACAGACCAGAGGCTATTACTGCTACTGCTACTGCTACTGCTACTGCTACTGCTACTGCTACTGCTACTGCTACTGCTACTGCTACTGCTGCTACTGCTACTGCTACTGCTGCTGCTACTACTGCTTACTGCTGCTACTGCTGCTGTACTCTGCTACTGCTACTGCTACTGCTACTGCTGCTACTGCTACTGCTGCTACTGCTACTGCTACTGCTACTGCACTGCTGCTACTGCTACTGCTGCTACTGCTACTGCTACTGCTACTGCTACTACTACTGCTACTGCTACTGCTACTGCTCTGCTACTGCTACTGCTACTGCTACTGCTACTGCTACTGCTACTGCTACTGCTACTGCTACTGCTACTGCTACTGCTACTGCTACTGCTACTGCTACTGTCGTACTGCTACTGCCTAGCTACTGCTACTGCTCTGCTACTGCTCGTACTGCTACTGCTACTGCTATGCTACTGCTACTGCTACTGCTACTGCTACTGCTACTGCTACTGCTACTGCTACTGCTACTGCTGCTACTGCTATGCTGCTACTGCTACTGCTGCTACTGCTACTGCTGCTACTGCTACTGCTGCTACTGCTACTGCTACTGCTACTGCTGCTCTGCTACTGCTACTGCTGCTACTGCTACTGCTGCTACTGCTACTGCTGCAACTGCTACTGCTGCTACTGCTGCTGCTACTGCTGCTACTGCTGCTACTGCTACTGCTACTGCTGCTACTGCTACTGCTGCTGCTACTGCTACTGCTGCTACTGCTACTGCTACTGCTGCTACTGCTACTGCTACTGCTACAGCTGTTACTGCTGCTACTGCTACTGCTACTGCTGCTACTGCTACTGCTGCTACTGCTACTGCTACTGCTACAGCTGCTACTGCTACTGCTACGCTACTGCTACGCTGTTACTGCTGCTACTGCTACTGCTACTGCTCTACTGCTACTGCTACTCTGCTACTGCTACACTGTACTGCTGCTACTGCTACTGCTACTGCTACTACTGCTACTGCTACAGCTGTTACTGCTGCTACTGCTACTGCTACTGCTACTGCTACTACTGCTACTGCTACTGCTACTGCTACTACTGCTACTGCTACAGCTGTTACTGCTGCTACTGCTACTGCTACTGCTACTACTGCTACTGCTACTGCTACTACTGCTACTGCTACTACTGCCGCTGCTGCTGCTACTGCTACTGCTACTGCTGCTGCTACTGCTACTGCTACTGCTACTACTACTACTGCTGGTGCTACTGCTACTGCTACTGCTGCTGTTACTGCTACTGCTACTACTGCCGCTTCTACTGTAACTGCTACTGCTACTGTTACTGTTACTGCTACTACTGCTACTGGTACTGTTACTGCTACTGCTACTGCTACTGCTACTGTTACTGCTACTGCTACTGTTACTGCTACTGCTACTACTGCTACTGCTACTGCTGCTGCTGCTGCTGCTACTGCTACTACTGCTACTGCTACTACTGCTACTGCTACTGCTGCTGCTACTGCTACTACTACTGCTACTGCTACTGTTACTGCTACTGCTACTACTACTACTGCTACTGCTGCTGCTACTGCTAATGCTACTGTTACTCATACTCAAATGGTACTGCTACTTCTACTGTGGCACCTGCTACTGGTGATGCTACTGCTACTACTACTTCTACTACTACTACTACTGCTACTGCTGATGCTACTGCTACTACTACTTCTACTTCTACTACTTCTACTACTACTACTGCTAGTTGTGCTTGTGGACCTTCTGCTTGGAGCCCTCCTTCACTGTGATCCAGTCTTCTCCGTTGGAGCTCAGGTCCACCTTGTACGAGCGCACATAGTAGTGTTTCTGCGTCTCCTTGGAGATGGCGCCCTGAGTCCCGATCGCCGTGACGTAACGGAGGAAGCCCAGGTCCACCTGCCAACACACGACAACATGCTCAGTCTGATCATCTCATACTCCATTAAACCGGTGCATGCAGAGAGAGATCCAGAGAAAGAGCAGAGAGAGACGAGAGACAAACCAGAGCGAGAGACCAGAGAGACCAGTGAGAGACCAACAAGACCAGTGAGAGACCAACAAGACCAGTGAGAGACCAACAAGACCAGAGAGAGACCAAAGAGAGACAGAGAGAGAGCCGAGAGGGAGAGACCAGAGACAAACCAGAGCGAGAGACCAGCGAGACCAGTGAGAGACCAACAAGACCAGAGCGAGACCAGAGAGAGACAGAGAGAGATCCAGAGAGAGCGGAGAGGGAGAGACCAGAACAAGAGAGATAATAGAGAGAGACCAGAGAGAGACCAGAGACAAACCAGAGCGAGAGACCAGCGAGACCAATGAGAGACCAGACAGAGACCAGAAAGGGACCAGAGAGAGCGCAGAAAGAGACCAGTGAGAGACCAATGAGGCCAAAGAGAGAGACCTGAGAGACCAGAGACAAACCAGAGAGAGAGAGACCAGCGAGATCAGTGAGAGACCAGTGGGACCAGAGAAAGATCAGCTATAGAATCCAGCAAGATAAGAGAGAGAGAGACCAGATAGAAACCAGAGAAACACCAGAGAGAGAAACCACAGAAACCAGAATAACACCAGAGAGAGAAACCACAGAAACCAGAATAACATCAGAAAGAGAAACCAGATACAGTAGAAACCAGGGAAACACCAGAGAGAGAGAGACCAGAGAGACCTCCTTTTACTGTGTCTAAATTACATATATTTGCTCAGTGCGAATGGGGCTTATGTCTTCCTATCCATCCATCCATCCATTTTCTACCCTTTAATCCATTTCTGGGTCAGGGGGGTGGCAGTCAGAGATGCCACCCAAGTCTCATAGCACCAGCCCCTCACTGACCCTCTGCAGGTGGTGAGTCCACAGGAGGACGGCTGCTCTCTGAGCATAGCCTTGATCTTTCAGCGGGGGATTTGGGCAAAGTGGGGTTAAGTGTCTTGCCCAAGGACACAACGACAGCAGTCATCAGTGGGAGTCGGTGGAGAAGGTGTGGAGGTGGGAATTGAACCCACAACCTTCAGGCCTGAAGGCCAGTGCTGAAGGCCAGTGCTCTACCAACTGAGCTACTGTCTTCCTACAGCGTGTTTAATTCTTTGATCCCCGTTCTCTCGGTTAAATCAGTTAGAAAATAAGAATCTCTCAGTTCTGCAGTTTCTCCTCGAGGGAAAAACAGAAAAAAAGATTTATTTTTTTTATCTTTGAAATGAAACGTTTGGAGTTTCACAGAAGGTTTAATTTAATGAAACTGTAGACGTGTGATCAGATTAAGGACGGGGAGCGACTCGAGGGAGGTGAGGGGGGAGAGGGGAGAGAGAGGGGAGAGAGGGGGGAGAGGGGGGAGAGAGGGGGGAGAGAGCGGAGGGATGAACTGGACTCTCTGATCTTTGCTTTTGCTTTAATCATTAATCTTTCCCCGGAGTTTCAGTCCCTCGTGTTCTTTACTCAGAGCCCAGGTTTGTGAGATGCAGAGGTCCTGGTACTTTCCAAGTCCTGGTCCGGGTCCTCTCCAAATGCAGAGGTCCTAGTTCTCTCCAGTTCTTGGTCCCAGTCCTCTCCAAGTCCTGGTCCTCTCCAAATGCAGAGGTCCCAGTCCTCTTCAAGTCCTGGTCCAGGTCCTCTCCAAATGCAGAGGTCCTAGTCCTCGTCCTCTCCAGGTTCTGGTCCTTGTCCTCTTCAGGTCATGGTCCCGGTCCTTTCCAGGTCCTGGTCCTCTCCAAGTCCTGGTCCTCTCCAAATGCAGAAGTTCCAGTTCTCTCCTGGTCTTGGTCCAGTCCTCTCCAAGTCCTGGTCCGGGTCCTCTCCAAATGCAGAGGTCCCAGTCCTGGTTCTCTCCAGGTTCTGGTCCTTGCCCTCTCCAGGTCCTGGTCCGGGTCCTCTCCAAATGCAGAGGTCCTAGTTCTCTCCAGGTCTCGGTTCTAGTCCTCTCCAAGTCCTGGTCTGGGTCCTCTCCAAATGCAAAGGTCCTGATCCCGGTCCTCAACAGGTCCTGGTCCCAGTCCTCTCCAGGTCCTGGTCCCGGTCCTCTCCAGGTGCAGAGGTCCTTCCATGCTCTTATACTTGAGGGGCCTCCATAGAGAGTATTTTCCTGATGTTAAACCTTGATACTCACAGATCTCCCCACAGGCCGACAATACAGCCTGACCTCAGCCTCAGTCACTTCCTGCCCACTTCCTGTCCAGCTCCTGTCCACTTCCTGTCCACTGTGAGTGTTTGTGTTAAACTGAAACAATGGCCTCTTCCTCACTCTCTGAGCACAACTTGGCGTAGTCCATTATCATGTGTTTTCCTCTGGCCCTGGGTACTTGTTCTCGTCTTCCCCGTGTTGAAAAGCTAAAACTTATCATCTGGTCTGGTCTCTCTATAGTCTCTTTGGCCTCATTCTCTGGTCTCACAAGTCTCTCTCTGGTCTTTCTCTCTGGCCACTTTCTCTGGTCTCTCTCTCTCTCTGGTCTCACTGGACTTTGGTCTCTTTCTGGTGTGTCTCACTCTGGTGTCTCTCTGTTCTCTCTCTGGTATCTCTCTGTTCTCTCTCTGGTCTCTTTCTAGTCTCTCTCTGGTCTGGTCCCTCAGGTCTCTCTCTGGTCTTACTCTGGTCTGGTCTCTTGTCTCTCTCTGGTCTCTCAGATCTCTCTCTCTCTCTCTATCTCTGGTCTCACTATAGTCTCTTTCTGGTCTCTCTCTCTCGCTCTCTCTCTCTCTCTCTCCCTGGTCTCTCTTTATTGTCTCTCTCTGGTCTATAGTCCCTCTCTGGTTTCTCTAAGGTTCCTTTATGGTCTCTCACTGGTCTCTCTCTGGTCTGGTCCCAGTCCTCTCCTCTCTCTGTTCTCACCTGGATCCACTCCCGGACCGAGTCTTCAGATGGTGTCCACCCATTCTCCCCGTAGTTGAGTCTGGACCGCTCTGGGGACCAGTTCTGGTTGTATTTGGACGAAGCCTCGATCCGATCGGAGCCGATGTCTCCTGACTCCATCCCCAACGGCTCCAGGCACCGAAAGTCTGTGGGGGAGGGGGGGAGACTGTGAGGGTCAGTATTTAACTCTATGGGCAGTGAGCTGAGAGAACAGAGATCTCTGTGTTTGGATTCCTGTGTCTCTGTGTCTGTGTATCTCTGTGTCTGTGTATCTCTGTGTCTCTGTGTCTGTGTCTGTGTATCTCTGTGTCTCTGTGTCTGTGTATCTCTGTGTCTCTGTGTCTCTGTGTCCCTGTATCTCTGTGTCTGTGTATCTCTGTGTCTCTGTGTCTGTGTCTCTGTGTCTCTGTGTCTCTGTGTCTCTCTGTGTCTGTGTCTCTGTGTCTCTGTGTGTCTCTGTGTCTCTGTGTCTCTGTGTCTCTGTGTCTCTGTGTCTGTGTATCTCTGTGTCTGTGTATCTCTGTGTCTGTGTCTGTGTATCTCTGTGTCTCTGTGTCTGTGTCTGTGTATCTCTGTGTCTCTGTGTCTGTGTATCTCTGTGTCTCTGTGTCTCTGTGTCCCTGTATCTCTGTGTCTGTGTATCTCTGTGTCTCTGTGTCTGTGTCTCTGTGTCTCTGTGTCTCTGTGTCTCTGTGTCTCTGTGTCTGTGTATCTCTGTGTCTGTGTCTGTGTATCTCTGTGTCTCTGTGTCTCTGTGTCTCTGTGTCTCTGTGTCTGTGTATCTCTGTGTCTGTGTATCTCTGTGTCTGTGTCTGTGTATCTCTGTGTCTCTGTGTCTGTGTCTGTGTATCTCTGTGTCTGTGTCTGTGTGTCTCTGTGTCTCTGTGTCTCTGTATCTCTGTGTCTGTAGCTCTGTGTCTGTGTCTCTGTATCTCTGTGTCTGTAGCTCTGTGTCTGTGTCTGTGTATCTCTGTGTCTCTGTGTCTGTGTGTCTCTGTGTCTCTGTGTCTGTGTCTGTGTATCTCTGTGTCTGTGTGTCTCTGTGTCTCTGTGTCTGTGTCTGTGTCTGTGTCTGTGCCTCTGTATCTCTGTGTCTGTATCTCTGTGTCTCTGTGTCTCTGTGTCTGTGTGTCTCTGTGTCTCTGTGTCTGTGTCTGTGTGTCTGTGTGTCTCTGTGTCTCTGTGTCTGTGTCTGTGTCTCTGTATCTCTGTGTCTGTGTCTGTGTCTCTGTATCTCTGTGTCTGTAGCTCTGTGTCTGTGTCTGTGTATCTCTGTGTGTCTGTGTCTGTGTCTGTGTGTCTCTGTGTCTCTGTGTCTGTGTCTGTGCCTCTGTATCTCTGTGTCTGTATCTCTGTGTCTCTGTGTCTCTGTGTCTGTGTGTCTCTGTGTCTCTGTATCTCTGTGTCTGTAGCTCTGTGTCTGTGTCTCTGTATCTCTGTGTCTCTGTGTCTCTGTGTCTGGATCTCAGGTCTCACCAGGGCTCTGTGGATCGGCCTTCGCCCCCACAGGAGGCTCCCTCAGGCGGATGCTGTAGTTGGCGGAGAAGCCCTCTCTGGAGATGGCGTTGTCGGTGGTGATGGTCATGGACAGAATCCCGGTGTAGGACACGATTCTGCCTGGAGACGTGTGACCGCAGAACCTGCCGATGTGCGGGCCGACTGTGAGGGGAAAGACACCAGACAGATTCAGCACAGAGCGTCGTGTGAGCGTGGACAGAGCCAAACACAACTGGAGGTCTGTCATGAGGATCTCCACTGAAATGGACTAAAGTCTTGGTCACAACAAAAATCAATCACTGATGTCCCATTTCTACAACTCCTGCCTTAGTAACAGGTCTAAATATACAGTGTTTGTGTGTGTGTGTTTGTGTGAGTGTGTGTGTGTTTGTGTGTGTGTGTGAGTCGTCTGTCTTGTCAGTTTTGCCCCAGTTTTAGACCTGGGTTCTTCTACAGGAGGCCACATCCTTCAAACATGGCACTGCTGCTCTGGAGGGCACACACACACACGCATACATACATACGCACGCGCACACACACACACACACACACACACACACACATACACACACGCACACTCCCCCAGATGAGACATATCCACACACCCCCTCTTCCCTCCACATGGTGCCCAGGAGCAGAGGCTGTTTGTGGGGAGACATCCATCCACATGACATCACACACACACACACACACACACACACACACCTGGGGACCAACACTATACTCTACACAACAGTTTGTGGGCTGCAATCAGCTCTGACTACTGCTACGACTGCTACGACTACATGGTATACAGGTGGACAAAGCTAACCCGCTAGCTCAATGAAGCTCGATAGGGAAGGGCTCATATTGAAGTTTGGCACTGGCTCCTATAAGCTCCTCTCGTTCAGTAACAGTTTGTATCGAAGGCATCGCGTTAGGCTTGAGGTCTAGTTCTCTCTATGATCCTGACGTTTTTTCAAAATTGTCTTTGTAAATCCAGATATGAGACACAAGCATTGACCAATCAGAAGCCTTCACTATTCAGGGGAAACTCCAACTTGCCTTAGCAACCAGCATAGCAACACATTATTTTGCTTTTGCCGTTACTAATGTTACTACTACTACTATTATGCCCTGCGACTACTACTAAAGGGGCAGAGCTCAGAGCGATATGGAGGGACCTAAGACAGAAGTGGGGGCTTGTCTCTTTCACATGAGATCTCACATGTACTTAAAGTTGGGATAAGTAACTTTAGTCTAAGAAATAACACATGAAGTTGGACAAAAAAACAGTTTTAGAGCCAGAAACTAGTGACAAGGATTTTATTACATAATTTCATTATTGTGGCTTGAGAGTTACGTGTCTGTGGTTACCTGCGGGGAATCCGTCCCACACCTCGAGCCAGTCGTAGCGGCACAGCGCCCCCGGTGGTGGCGTGGTGTCTGGCTCCATGTCGAAGGAGTCAAAGTCCACCACAATCTCTGCCATCTGCGGAGCCACGATCATGAAGGTGCACTCCAGGTTGTTGGGGTATTTATCGGGGAAGCCCGGCGTGGACAGGACCCCCCGAGGAGCCGTGAAGTTACGAGAGCATTCAGGACCTGAGAGGAAAGACCAGAGACCGGGTTTAGACCAGAGAACAAGGGTTAGAGAGACCAGAGAGAGACCAGAGACTGGGTTTAGACTAGAGACTAACAAGGGCTAGAGAGACCAGAGAGAGACCAGAGACTAGAGAACAAGGATTAGAGAGACCAGAGAGAGACTGGAGACCGGGTTTAGACTAGAGACTAATGAACGAGGACTAGAGAGATCAAAGAGAGACCAGAACGAGATCAGAAATAGGTTAGAGAGAGACCAGAGAGAAACCAGAAAGAGGCTAGTGAGAGACTAGAGAAAGTCAAGAAAAAAGGGAAACCAGAGAGAGACCAGTGAGAGAGAGGGTTTAGACCAGGATGCAGTCACTCTATTAGACTTTCAGCCCTTTTCTTTGTTACAAAACAATAAAAAAAATCAGATATTACTAACTCACAAAAAACTGGTGTTTTGGACAGAAAAACAGTGTAAACACTTCTCGAGGACATGAACCTTGGACTCGCTCTGTTTTTCTCTGCTTTAAATGGACCGAGCTGTGCCCTTGGACTGACACATGATGGATCTGTGAGTGAGAGCAGCGGGGGGTGGTCCTTCTGTGTGTGTGTGTGTGTGTGCACGTGTGTGTGGGTGTGTGTGTGTGTGCATATGCGTGTGTGTATGTTTGCGTGTCTTTTTTGTTTTGTTTAGTCCTGATGGCTTTTGCTTAAACCTTTTTGAACCGTGTTATTTGTTATTTATTTATGCAGGTGAAAAGATGGAGGTTCCCAATAAATAAATATTAACTAACCATAATAATCTGCAATATCTACATGTGTAAAACAGCAGTAGTGTGATCTAAATGAAAGCACACGGTTGTAAAGAAGTGGAGTGTAATGAGTTTGAAAACAGAGCATTTAGACAGAAGGGGCGGGGGCTAAAAACAGCTGCAGGTCTGTGGCTGATGGAACATTGGAACATGGAGGAAAGAGATTGAACATTTAAGCTTAAATTGTTTTCTGCCCGGTAACAGCTAACAGCCTCCCCCCAGTGTGTGTGTGTGTTTGTATGTGTGTGTGTGTGTGTGCATGTGTGAGACCCTCATCCATCACCCCTGCCTCACCACCAGGGGGCACTTATTTCGGTGTGGTGTGGACACTGATTGGACCTGAGGGAAGAAACAGTGGCTTCGTACGACTGATGTTTTGAGGCTGCAGGACTCCCCGGGGACCAGCAGGGGGGGCGGGCCTGTTTATCTGGGCCAGAGGCAGGCCCAGGGGAATTGTGGGAGTTTGAGTTCGTTTGACCTGCAGCAGCAAAGGTCAGCAGGACTTTCACAGCAGCAAAGAGTTTAGAGGAAAGAAGAGAGTTCCTCATTTACTTTCAGCCGTTCACAGCTGTTTTTAAAGTTCTCGCACTCAGACACAAATGTTTTTATTTAGGGATTATCTGAGGTGAGAAACTCCTCCAAACCCTGGTCAGAAGTGATAGTTTTGTGGCACTTTATCCTTTCTGGTCTCTCCTTGGTCTCTCTCTTTCTGGTCTCTCTCTCTGGTCTCTCTGTTCTCTCTCTCTGGTCCCTCTTTCTCGTCTTTCTAGTCTCTCTCTCTGGTCTCTCTCTCTCTGGTCTTTTTCTCTGGTCTTTCTCTCTGGCCCCTCTCTCTGGTCTCTCTGTGGTCTCTCTTTTCTCTCTCTGAACTCTGCCTGGTTTCTCTCTGGGTTTGCTCTGGTCTCTCTCTAGTCTCTCTCTCTGGTCTTATCACCCTACTCTCTCTCTGCTCTCTTCAGTCTCTCTCTGGTCTCTGTTTCAACGACTGAACAATATTCTGTGTTCAAACCGTATATGACTAATTTCACAGTTAAAATGTCAAGCAGAATAACCAGGGGCCTCTTGTTTGCATCTGTGATCAGTGCTCCCCTTGCTCGGCTTGGTAGTTAAGGTGGACGGCCATGTCTTGGTAAGTTTGCAGTGGTCCATACTCTTTCCATTTTTAATGATCGATTGAACAGTGCTTTATGAGATGATCAAAGTTTGGGAAATGTTTATTTAACTATAACGCTGGGAGAAGAACAGTCCCGCTCACCGGTTTTGAAGACCTCGTAGCGGATGGAGAAGCCAGCCCCGTGTGTCTCATAGTCCGACACGAATTTGACGGTGAGCTGAGCGCCGCTGGAGATGATCGGAGACGGTGCGATTTTCCCACAGAACTTCCCCACGAGAGGAGAGGCCTCGTCGCCGCCGTTATACACCTCCACATAGTCGTACCTGCAACAGAGACCAGAGAGAGACATGGAGTCATATATATGTAACAGAGACCAGAGAGAGACGAGGGAGAGACCAGAGAGAGACCAGAGAGACCAGAGGGAGAGGAAAGAGAGAGACCAAAGAGAGAGACTAAAGTGAGAGACCAGAGAAAGACTGGAGAGAGAGACTAAAGTGAGAGACCAAAGAGAGACCAGAGAGAGGAAAGAGAGAGAGAATAACAAGGCTAGAAAGAGAGACCAGAGAGAGACCAGAGAGACCAGAGAGAGACCTGAGAGAGACCAGAGAGAGACCACAGAGAGACCACAGAGAGACCACAGAGAGACCAGAGAAAGAGACTTAAGAGAGACCAGAAAGAGAGGAAAGAGAGAGAATAACAAGGCCAGAAAGAGAGACCAGAGAGAAACCAGAGGGA